TAAAATGAATAAACATCCAATTTTGATGATCTATCAGCCAGATTTCCTAAACTTTTATATTCCTAAGACAGTTTCACACAAGATACATGTTATTACAAGTCTATTATTTCAAACAACAATTAAATATTTACAATATTTGGTATATGTGTAGATAAGATATCCAGTTATGAACAGGATTATATACCCAATTATGATCATTGCTATAGTGACGCCTACACAACATAATCAATTATGTAACAGTATCTCTGACTTTGTGTAAGCATGGTAAGATATACACAGAAAGGACATCCTAACCCTCCCACGAGATGAACAAATCAATACATAGTGCTATACGCCAACTTGAGACAACGGAACCTTTACTGTAATGATGCCACGGTCGTGTTTCCTTAACTCTGTAGATCAATACAACGTTGCCTACTGGAGTGTGAGACCTCAATCACATTGCCTGGCACATCCAGGGATTAATGAATTATAAATGATACATCTGTTTTTCAAAAAAAAAATCCTGTTCTTTTTTAACAGGAGCAATGTATAGGCAGGAGCGTGGCAGCTATAGACCACGACAATGGCGAGAAAACGACCTATACCTATTAACAGCGCTATGGTGAAGTGAGGGTTGGTTTTATAACTTCAGGGAACAAAGTCGGGTCAACACGCATCATTTCATTTCAATACACAGCATTTACTTTACAACTCACGATAATTCTAACAACTGCTTACAGCATGTGTCTACTATTCCAGTTGAAAAGATATCATCAAATAGTATTTGGGAAACCAATGGGTACCTGACTGGGAGTCGTAAACTTGAGGTGGTATTGTAGCAATACTGACTTCAGCCTATACACAGATACTTCACTTGCTAGGATCTATTCAGCTCTATAAGTTACTCTGGGAATAAATACCTTACTCTGTGACAGACACTTGGTCTTTACATCATTTTAGTACAATTTATCATTATCATATAGAATATTATTAGCTAAGTGTATGGACTGAACCAAATTTGACTACACTTGGGCTTCAATGATGAGTTAATAAAGTTATAAACTACATATTCATATTTAAAAAATAGAAACCACACACATTATTCAGTTATCTGTTGGATCACATTTTCAGGAGCTGATTCTCATCAAACTTTGAGAGAAGAAATAACCAGAATTTACACCTTTGCCACACATCACATGCCACACATCACATGCCACACATCACATGCCGAAATGGTTTCTGATTACTCAGTGTGTCTAAAAAAAGGCTAGATTGGATATTCATAACACAAACAGTCCTCATATATTCCATGCATAAAAACATAGAATCCCTGGTCCTCACAACAAGACCTTGTCAAAAGTAACTTGTATAGACTTCCAGAAAGAGCATACTGGTACATTATTTAGGCTTGAAAATGACAGGCGCTTTTTCTTAAAACTGCTGCAAAGAAAATTGCTACCCAAGAAATAGAATAACTATTCTCATACTAATATGTTAAAGCTTAAACTTTACTTTCAGTTTTGTTAAAATTTTAAAGAATCTCATGTTCATATGAAATAGTGTTACTGATACAATTTATGCCATCATATATGAATTTACTTTGTCCAATTTATCTTTAGAAAGAACATGCAAAACAAAGACGCCTCTTTAACATCAGTGAGCAATGTCAGCATAACAACCAATCTTTAACGACTTATAAACTGTGGTAACTGCAGCAACAGGGGACATCTAATACGCCAACCCACTGCTCCAATAAACAGCTTATATCCCTTTATCTAGCCATGTAATGATGTAACTTAAACCTTGTATAATCCCAACATAATAGACGCTGGTACAATGTATTAACGATTCAGTGCAGGTCGGCGCTTCTCAGTGGCAGAAAACTTGAATACAGTATTACTGATACCGTCATAATAGGATTTAATGTTGTAAAGGTAGTTGCCATGCAGATAATACTGTCAGAGATATACAAACATTGATATATCCTGTTGTGATCAGTTTTTGCTTGGATTAGACACGTGTGCTCATAAAATACAAACAAATAGAACAGTTGTAATATGATACCTACATGTTGATATGGTAAATATCATTTTAATTTATCAAAACATTTACTATGAAAGTCTATTAATCGAAAGCCTGTATCAGTCACTTCCAAAGTTCCAAGAGTGACCATGATGCTTTGCGGTGACATCATATCGTTTTGCTCGCCTCACTGGCTTTCTATTTACATCCACTCAACCGCAACATGTACAAAGATGTGATTTTCTGATAGCCGATTATCAACACTAAGTGGACGATCTATCAGTTAGGTTTTTGACAGCACTAAACCCTTTTTTAATACAATCATTCTGTACTTGTAGTAGTGAGTTATGTGTTAGTGATCTCTATTTCAAACTGATATTTCTCTCAGATTTGATCATAGCATCATTCCAAGCATTTTGTCACTGGAGCAGTAGTGGGATGGTGCTTGTTCAAAAACAAGCTGCCAGTGAAGCGATAAAACATTATTCAAAATGGCCGAGCGGAACTACATGTCGAGCCAGACATGTGACAGTACGATACTCATCTGGCCTGTCTTGAGAATATTTCTATAATAGATAATACATGTATATATATTTATTTCATTCTTCTAACCAGGCTCAGGCTCATGGCCATCTAAATAATAATTATTGGTGTAAAAATCTCGTATAAATTTTGAATTATCTAAAGTTTACAGAGCATAAAAATAAATGTTTTATGTTATCAGCACAGTCATTGTTTCATGTTATTTCAAACACTTCTCATAAAACCCGGAATCAACATTTCCGGAAAACTGGAAAAACGTCAAATGTATCAGTGAATACATATCCTCCATCAGTGACACTCATAGCAAATATATACTACTAAAAAAATGTAAGGAACTTTAGATCTTTTCTTGACTATACCTAATCTGTTATGGCTGGCTGGTATTGTTGCATACAGCTTTTAATCATGAGTGTTCCTTAACTTGTTTTGAGTAGTATAGTTTGCCTAGTTAATCTGAGTAAGTGATAACGGGGCTTTTCTGTTCCACATAACTGCCTGTTAATACCTAGCCAATGAGGAAAATATTAGGCGTTTGATCGCTCACCCAAATGATCAGCTTAATTGCACAAGTTTCATTTATGCATAGACAGAGCTTATTTCTAGTTGATTGCCTGTATGTATTATCATTGTTTGATCCAGTGCTGAGAAATGAGCTGTTTTGCCTGTGAAATAGCACTACACTCATGGCTAATGGTAAATGATAAAGTCTGATGCTTTCAGTTGTCGGCAAAATAATCATTCAGTGTCTTTATGACCAACACATACATGAGTACATCAGTGAACAAATCTTTGGATGCAAATCGATTCCTCTGCAATTTGAGCTTCATTTGTTTGCAGATTGTTGAAATAACTTCTTGTATTGTTAAATGGTCAATTACATCAGTAAGTGAGTAAGTGAATTTAATTTTATGTCACACTCAGCAATATTCCAGCTGTATGGTAGTGGTCTGTAAATAATCGAGTCTGGACCAAACAATCCAGTGATCAACAGCATGCGCATCGATCTACATAACTGGGATACGATGACATGTGTCAACCAAGTCAGCAAGCCTGACCACCCCGATCCCATTAGTCGCCTCTTAAGACAAGCATGGGTTACTGAAGATCAATTCTAACCAGGATCTTCACGGATCTCGTTTACAACAATGTTTATGGATACCTTCACAAAGCTTGGAATCTGTCAAAAATAACCTATACTTAGGATCATGCAAATTTAGTTCCTGTTTTTCTTAATTTCCTTGTCCTATGTATTAAAATACATGAACAAGCATGAAATATTATAAAAACACAGACAAACTTTAACATGATAGCATTAGAAATTAGGGTATTTAATTAAAATTAGAAGCATTTGAGGTATGTTATCATTTTCCTCCATAGATTTTTGAATTGAAGTTAAACAAAAAAGCAAGCATGTACAGGTATGGTTATGAAACCTGAAGAATCAATTTTGATATCATTGTTTAACTTGAATTAAATCTTAAATTTCTTTTTATACAACTGTCAGCCAACTGGACCCTTATCTGTCAATCTCCAACTGGAATATTTCCCAAGGTTAATATCAATTTCTATTCAATAAAAGATATTTATCAAAACCTGAAAAACAGCCTGTGTGCCGGTGGAGCGGCTGTTTGCATGTGTGTCAATCACTTAAGTCTTATATACAGTAAACAGCTCATAACGAACTTGCATGTAATGAGCTGATGGATAGAACAAACTGGGATTTTTACACAGTTCTGGTTGTGTTCAGGAGCTGATGCTGTGTTCAGCATATCACTATCTTGGTTGGCATGTACACTTGCTGAACCAAGATTATCAAGTCAATTATTCAAGAGTATCTGCTATCCAAGTTGGTTCCTGAATAGTTAATGAACAAATTTGCCACTAGATCAGCCATGGCTGTAGTTGATCTCTACACAGAGATCTCTGACTTCAGAATAGGTTGTGGAATTATGAAACACAGTGCATATGGAACTGGTCTGGTGATAACATTTACTGGTCTGTTGTAATTTCTTTACCAAAATTGTTTCTGTGTTATATATTCTGATTGGTAACAACATACTCTGACCCTTACAAAACTAACCCTAAGGATCAAGCAGACACAAGAAGATCAGTAAAGCAATGCTAAATAATATCTTCTTGAGATATTTCTATTCTTAAAATACCATTTTTTTGCATTTTATACTCATGCCTTCACATATCTAAAATGTGTTAATGACTTTATACATTCTACACGATTGAAATATTTTTTTAAAGAATATTTTTAAAAGTTCTATATCAGATATATGGTTCAAATTATGGACATTGTATGTAGATGAATAATAACAAGCACTGGTAAATTGTGAATAAAGAGGCAACGAGTATGTTGCTTTTATTGTCTATTTCTGTATTGCCAATTCTTACGTAATCAGGTGAAAAATGCTGTATTTTTGTATTGTAATCTGCTTTTGTCTCACCTTTTCTCTTGTGGGTCTTGACATTCTGACATCATTACTGTCTTTATTCAACTTCAGATCTTTCCTTGTGTGTTCAAGTGCTTTTTCCAGTGCTTCCTTTCCTCTTGTTAAGGATTTTATTTCTTCATTTGTTTCCAACAAACTTTCTCTCAGCTTTGCTACAACAGCCCTCACATCTCGCGTATATCTTCTGATTTCTTCATTACTCAACTGAGCAACTGTGTCTCTCAAGTGTGGCAGTGGATCAAAAGCTCTGCCAATATCACAACTTTTATCACTTTTCTGAACTATGTTTTGAGACAATTTTATACCTTTCAAAGTTGAATTCCTCCACGACTCTGGGCCGATCATTGTGGTAGTAGCAACTTTAGTAGCCATCCTTTTGCAAAAGACTGACCGCGGAGGATGGACACAATCGCTGACAGACCACTGTGTGTAAATAAGTACTGAGGCACAGCCGTGTTTTATTACTTAGGCGTCACTTTCCATGCAGCGTCGTCCTGGGCAACGAGTCTGTGTGGATCGAAAACACGAACCCGTAGCGTAGCGAAACAGGAAACCGTATTGCGGAATACGGAGTGGGATTATTATTATCTTAATCTTTGTGATTATAAAGGAAAGAATAAAGGTTTCAGAAAAAGAAAAGCAATGAATAAAACTGACGTCTCCAAATATTGTTTTTTTTGTCACTTGGATAACGTCAGCATAATTTCTACTATGTTAAACTCCTTTACCATTAGTTGCCAAGGATTAAGCATTTATAAATGTATCTTCTTGGCACTGCTTTTGAACTTTATTTCTCAAATGTTTTGTTTTTATGTATTAATATGCAAATTGAAATGCCTTTGAAATGTTGAATAAAATATTCTAATCAATATAACTTTCGCTGTAGTTTGCTTGTTATTATCAATAAGGTGAAATGTATTTTTAGTTTTCACCCGTGTTAGAACAATCCGTCTTTTGTAATTTAAACTGCGATTACTGAAGAGGTTCGATAACATCAATTTGAAATCATGTGATAGCTCGATTGTTTGGCCTTTTGTCAGTAAATTATACGACGTATTAGAAATTAAAGTTGAAATGAGAATCCTTAAATTTACCGTATCGATTTTATTTTTTGTTACTCTGACTGTGTTGAATGCGGATTATCTGTCATTAGGGGATTAAAGTTGTTTGCAAAACATTCCGACTGATGTGAGTGATACACAAATGATTGAAATCCATCGAGATCGGATTCAATCGGATTATCTGATTGCTATATTGTCGGCCTTTTATCAGTGGGAGATTATCTGATTACTGGGTATTACAATCTTAATTACATAGTCAAGCACATGCATATATATACAGCAAACTGTTCCTACTTGTAATTTATACTACCCCAACTTGGTCGGAAGCAAACTCTGCTCTTGGATGCATTTACCGTCTGTTGGACGTATTTACCAATTTATATAACCAGAAACCTGTTGCACACGGAGTATCAGTGTGGGGAATCGAACCCGGGCCTTCCTCTTGAAGAGAAGGTTTAAACCACCATGTTACCTTAGCAATCTGCATCTTATTTACCGGGCCGGAGATGGATGAAGGGCGAGTGAGTGAGTTTAGTTTTACGCCGCTTTTAGCAATATTCCAGCAATATCACGGCGGGGGATACCAGAAATGGGCTTCACACATTGTACCCATGTGGAGATTCGAACCCGGGTCTTTGTCGTGATGAGCAAAGGCTTTAACCACTAGGCTACCCCACCACCCCTTGGAGGAGGGGGTAGTGGGGGCGAGGTAGGTTGTCCTGTACAAGTCCGGTGGGATTTTATGCTTTCATTCAGTTAGACTTGCAAACTTTTTGGGTCAGTGTACATGGAGGGACACATTACCAATATCACCAATTAGATAAACAACACGTGTATAAGTACGTACAGAGCACGAATAACAACCAGGGATGATAAACTCAACGCTACCAGGGAGTCTGGGCACGACCGGGGACATTGCTCCCCCCTCTCTCTCTCTCACCACAACCCCCTCCCTCCACCATCCGTCCCCTTTCCCCTCCCTCATCCATTGCTAATCAAGTAAAATCTTAAAGACACCTTAATCTAATACGTCACCATCGACTATATAACTATTCTATTTTCTTTCAGTTTAGCCACCATCGAAAATGGATGTATACTTTCTTTTATCCGACAGTATAATTCAAAATAATTTAGTTAAGCGAGTTCCAAAAATCTATCGAAACAAACGTTAACATATTTCCAGGTCAGAATTGTTGGCGTAATGCAAAGACCATAGTTGGCATCGTGCTGACCATATTATTACCTTTACGCCTGTACAGATTACTTTTTCACTACAGTCAAATGTGAAGTTGACAAGGAAGGGAATATAACGCAGAAGGTTGGAAAGATCGATTTGTTTATTCGCACATTTAAGCGATTCTAAATGCATGTTGATAAGGGGCGGTGGGATAGCCTAGTGGTTAAGTGTTCTCATTATTACTCGCCCGTGGAAGATACTGCAGTGTAATATTTGTACGGCAATATTACACTAGTGTAATATCGCTAAACATATGACGTCATAATGGTTACAGTTATGACGTCACAATGCTCATGCCTCTGTCGCAATGGTATTAGACCTTGCTTGACTCGCGGAAAATTGATATGAGAGTCATCACACTGTAGGCAGTTTCTATCAATTTATGTTGGAGAGTAATAAACAGAATACTAAACTCGCTTCCGTGAAATACCATTTTTATTAAACTCGTGAAAGATTAAGTATCAAATTATTGACTCGTTAATAAAATTGGTATTACACCGAATCTCGTTTAGTATCCTCTATGTCTCGCAGTCCCAGCATCATTTTCCCTTTCTACCATGCTAAAGCCCTAATTGAAGTAAGTCTAGATTTGAACAGGTTTCTGAACCTTCCAACTCACTGGGGCTCCTTTTCAATTTAAAAGGAATTATTTGTTTCTTTCAAAATTATATGTATTAAAGACGAAGCGTTAGTCTAAATAGATCCGTGAAGGTCCGGGTTAGAATGAGCCTTCAGTAACCCATGCTTGTCGTAAGAGACGACTAACGGGATCGGGTGGTAAGGCTCGCTGACTTGTTTGACACATGTCATCGGTTCCCAATTGCGCAGATCGATGCTCATGCTGTTGATCACTGGGTTGTCTGGTCCAGACTCGATTATTTACAGACCGACGCCATATAGCTGGAATATTGCTGTGTGCGGCATAAAACTAAACCCACTCACTCACGTTAGTCCAAATACTTCACCGACACAACGCCATCACATTTTACGTGCGCATACTACAGTCTCACGTGATGAGACTAAGCATGTACTGATTACCTCCCTTGTTTGGACTCAGCCATTCCAGTCTCGTTGTCCACAACGATCGATACGTCTGGTTCCCAATCCACACGCGACTGAAATAAAACCTGACCCCTGAACCCGTCAGCATCTTTCACACCGTGTTTGCGATATCGCCATCATTTGGTCATGTCACGCGCACCAACCTATAAAGGGGTTCAGTCTGCACTGAACACTTGCTCCTAAAGGCTCCTTTAAACTTATTTCGAATTGACTGGATGGAAACAAGGAGAATCAGCCAGAGAAAAAATACTCCAAAATTCAAAACGCATTCGGGAGAGAATGTCAAAATAAACATTTTTTAAGCTTTGTAAGAATGTCGTTTTACTTGTGACTCCCAAATGCTACCTGACGTTTCAGTGACAGGTGGCCACATTTTTATGCAATTCGGCGGTGTTCCGATGACGTCAGGGCTTATATATGAAGAGCATTCGGGACGTTATGACTGTATTCGGGGTGTATTCGAGGTGTATTCAAGCTGTATTCCAAATGCAATCGAAATATTCCGATACATTTGAAGAATATTCCACCTGAATTCCGGCAGCAATCAAGATACATTCCGACTCATTCGAGGCGCACTCGAGACCGTCTGGCAGAATTTGAAGTGTCTTCTTCCTCGAATACGTTCAGAATACTTAGAATACAGTAAGAATACTTAGAATGCAGTTAGAATGCAGTAAGAGTACTTATCATGCAGTTATAATGCACTTCAAGTACCGTTCGATATTTTTCCACTTCGAATGTACCCCGAAAGTTTTGAACATGTTCAAACGTTTGGGCATGCTACAAGAATTGACCCGATTAGTTGGAATGCATTCGGAATGCAGTAAGAAGTTTTAGAATGCAGTTCGAATTTCCACGAATCTCCAGGAATTTTCATTCAGACAGCATTCCGGCTCATTCCTCCTCAAGTGTAACGGGGCTATAAAGGGAACACATGCTCCTATTTAATTAAATATTTCAGGAGTTAAAAATGTTAAACTTAACATTGTTCATTCTTTCGGTACAGGCAATGAAAACAACACCCACAAACATAAAGCCATCGATAATTACTTAGAAACAACACGTCTTCAAACATAACAACGCTAGATATAAATTAGTGTAATATGCGATAAATACAGTAAGTTATACAGTACATTTTTTCGACTTCGATCCGAATAATAGGAATTTGAATGAAACTGGTGTTCGTTGCCACCAGTACTAACCAAGGAACAAGTATATGGATACAGAGACATATATGGTTTTATGAGGAATTAGAAAATATGACCCATATATTCAAACCGATTGTTAGACATGCCAGTGGTTTTAGATAAATACGTAGATGTGATATTGGTGACGTCATGAACGTCATCCAATTGTGTTGTCATGCACTCGCACGTCCTACAGCTGCAGGGGCGGTGGGGTAGCCTAGTGGTTAAAGTGTTCGCTCGTCACACCGAAGACCCGGGTTCGACTCCCCACATGGGTACAATGTGTGAAGCCTATTTCTGGTGTTCCCCGCCGTGATATTGCTGAAATATTGCTAAAAGCGGCGTAAAACTAAACTCACTCACTCACTCCTACAGCTGCACAGTGAGCTTGGGTGGGCCGTATGTCGCCCATACTTGGAGCACGTGCCAATTAACACTTAAAAGTGAGTACATTTTTAAGTCACATTTAGAAATATTTCAGCAAGAGCACAGCGATGTACATCTAAAAAAAGGCTTCATTAACTGTATCATGTAGGGAATCAAACGTATATGGTCAGTGGGACGAACGAACGCTTTAACCACTGGGCTACCCCACGACCTTTATATTCTCCGTTGTCACAGTGTTGACCCTGGTTGACGATGCGTCGTGCACGGCGTCAGTGCGTGTCGTTGCTGGATCTTACATCATCGTCATAATGTATTTCTATCGACAATATCACCCAACGAAAGAAAATATATCACGTGATCATGACTTCTTTCAGTGCTAGAGTATATTCCTGTGATAGTCCATGGGTCATGTTACTTGTGGGCTTTGAGTTATCAACACAATGCTGCCTTTATATGGGGACCACCAAAGATTTAAAACACTCTGTAATACCATTTAAGTATAACAGCACGCTTCTTTCTATTTCTGAAGCCGAGCCATTCTACACAAGATTACAAACCAGCCTTCTTCCAAAATACTATTTCATTTTTCCAAACAAAGACAAGCGGGGACCTTTGTTTTTCCGTAGCAATAATGGGATTAAGAACTTTCAAATTTTGTATTCTTTGTATTTAAAAAGCGAAATAAGTTTACACATGAGTTTTGATTTACACCGCTTTCACCAGTATTTCAGCAATATCACGATAGGGGACGTCAGAAATGGGTTTCACACGTTGTACCCATGTGGGGAATCGAACCCAGGTTCTCGGCGTGACGAGCGAACGCTTAACCACTTGGCTACCCCACCGACCCTCCAATCCCCAAGAGAGAATAAAGCTTGAGATGACGGTGTCCTGGGTGCTCTCTCTCTCTCTGTGTGTGTGTGTGTGTGTGTGTGTGTGTGTGTGTGAGTGAAGCCCTCTAAAGCCAACGCATAATTACAAATTCCATTTTCAGAAAAGTCACTAAAAAATATTTAGATCTATTTGTGTGATTTTAAGTTATTTTTCATGTGAACCCAGTTTGTTGTGAAATTTATCAGTTTTGTCGTAAGAGCGTGACATGAGTAATACAAGCGTGAGCCAAAGGCGTGAGAGTTGGCAGGTATGTAACACACGCGCCTCACCCTCACCAACCTTCTGTGATTTGGCCCCTCCTTAATACATCCCTTAATCTGCCTCTGCCTTCCGTGATGTATGTGTACATTGTTACTCGGTCTGTCTGTCATCCACCCTATCGTGTTGAAGTTTGTTCTGCACCTGTGACGTCCTGAAGATGTGAGCACCCTTTTAATGCTGTCTTTCCCCACTGATGTACCATACAGACACGGGCGTGAAAGTTGCTGAATCACTATCTTCTGTTTAACTTTCCTATTTTGAAAAACGAAAGGTTGGCTGGTTACAACAAAGACATTTTACGTCTGTTTCAGTAAGATTGGTTGTAGACGCGTGAATATGGTTTTGTGCCGCTTTTAGCAATATTCCAGCAATTACACGGAGGGGGACACCAGAAATGGGCTTCACGCATTGAACCCATGTGGTGAATCGAACCGGGTCTTCTGCGTGACGAGCGAACGCTTCAACCACTAGGCTACCCCACCGCCCAAATTGGTTTGCATGTATGGCGGGTTATGTAAAGGTGAGTGAGTGAGTTTGGTTTTAACGCCGCTTTTAGCAATATTCCAGCAATATTACGGCGGGGGACACCTGAAATGGGCTTCACACATTGTACCCATGTAGGGAATCGAACCCGGGTTTCGGTGTGACGAGCAAACGCTTTAACCACTTGGCTAACCCACCCCCGTTAATTAAAGGTGCGTGTGTGCGTGTTCAGTAGCGGCCGTGGAAGAAGTGTCGTGTCGATGTCGCGCCTGGCTGAGTCAGCATCCAACCTTCCGCATAAAAGAATTACGCAACGTCACACATCCGGGACATGAAACCTGCTTTAAGCTCTAGGTGCGTTCTACAATGTAAGTGGACACTTACTGAATACTAAAACACATTTTCGTGCTGTTACTCTAACCTACCTATTTACGTATTTGTTGTGAATGTTTGCTGAGTAAAGCACACGCTGATTGGATGAGCAATATATATTACATAAGTCATCATATAAAACAGGAAATGTAAGCGAGTGTAATAAACTATTGTGAAACCGGATAACTTTCTCTGAAAACTACATAAGCTTACATTTGTGACGTCATAGTTATAAATACTGTGACGTCATAAGAAACATGGGGCGGTCCGTTTGAACCCACCCACGGACAGGTGATTGTATGAGTAATGGCGAGAAGAGTGAAGAACATGATATACTAGTATATCGTCAAACATGACTGGTCCAGGGGCTCATTCAAGTATCTTTAAGAATTATTTCGCAAGCCTATTTTGGGATATCTTAAACAAAGTGTATTCATACACTTATATTCGCAGTATAGTCACTTAATATCACATATTTTAGGGTCATCTACGTTGTAGGCTTAGTGCTTGTTTTTTGCAGTTGAATTTTTTTAGTATGATTTCAAGCGTCAGCTTCTAGGTATTTCCATTGCTAACATATAAATCTTACTTCGAACGTCGATAATTGTTCCATTATTCTTAAGTATTTAAATACAAACACTGTTATTAATACAATCATCTTAATAATAGGCATATATCGAAATAACACACAACAGTTTTGGAATAATAGAGAAGTGTATGCATATCCATAAACTATCAAAAAATAGAAATAAACTAACGGTGGAATATTTAAGTAAAATTTATACATATCATCATCTGTATTAAAAGGGTGCTACAATTCAAATAGTAACTTCTTTGAGTGGCATTTAGAAGTTGGTGTGATGAACAACGGGGAAAGTTCTATTGATACAACTTAGGCTTGGTCTTAGCATCTACACAGAAACGTCCCCTACATTAATAACAAAGAAGTTGTATATCCATAGAACATTCCCCGTTGTTTAAAAATAGTAATAATAAATAACGCAACTCCTCTAAAATAATTTTGTCGACAAAACTGATACCGGTAGCTACGAGATCCTATTTCATGTGCACCACATGTTCCATGTTTTGTACCCAACTGTGCGATAGTCTGATAAAGCACACAGTAAGTTCCGTGGCCACTTAAACCTCTAATGTTTATTGACAACAAGGGCCCTAATTAGTCACCTTACGGTTCAGTGCCCCCCGGGATGAAAAGAACCTGTAGTACGGCTGGGTTAATACTCTACCCAGAACAATTGATGTCTTGGGCGGGGCCTCTTGAATGAATCACCGATCTTAGCTTACAGTTGTGGGTCAAAGGTTGAGCGACATTTTACTTGAATTTGCTTCCCCTTGAGGCTGATGGTTGTAGCGTGCGCTGTTACTCAACCAGGGAAACATTCCCCATTTCGAATTGATTTTCTCTAACGCCGGGGAGATCTTTAACAACTTCTTTACGCGGGCAGCGCGAGACAGTCGCATCGCTATTCACCACATGCGACCTTCACCTTGGATGGCATGTACTCTGCTCTAGTGTGACGTCAAAATTTCCCCTCCTTCCTCCGAGGCGAGACACACACTTCACCGGCGGAAGAAACAAAATACAGCAGAGACCCCCCAAATTGGATATACGTGAACGATGGACAGAAATTAAGGATATTTAACTGGTGGTGAATCATTCTTATGTATGCCTGGTGTTGTTGATATGGCATCAGTTCCGACATGGTCACAGCCGAGTCTGTCAGCGACCGGATCAGAAGACATTGACAGGTTTCGTTCAACATGGAGACGGGAGGGTGAAGAACGAAGCAGGGTAACTAGTGACCCTATAATCGTGAATGGGATCCGATCTGGAAGTGACATATGTGTAGACGAACAGGACACTAACACTTCAATCATGGCGGGGAAACGTAAGGTGGGACAACTGAATGATTCTGATCATATTGTGTCTGTTCACAACAATCCTTTTTTCAAAACTTATGGGATTCGAACCCAGCGACCCGAGAGCCGCATTGACGATCCGAGTGTGCAAGAGGGATCTGGTGGTCTTAGATCAGCAAATATCAAAGAAAATGATGGTGTATTTGAAGATGATGAACCACAGGTATACAAGCCAGGATCAGGATTTGTACACAAACTTATGGGCAAGTTTTCCTCTCTCTCCACAAGGGACGACTACAGCTACAGACCCAAACGGACTTCGAGTTTGGAAAACCTTTTAGACGATCACAGACGTGATACGTGTAATAAAAATGATGTTCCCAGACGCGTCCAAGAAGGATTGTCTAGCTTCAGTAAGAGTGTTGAAAATGTTAACCATATGAGTAAACCTCCTCGCCCACTTAGGGTACCCACTTACCGTTCAATTTCAGAGTCAAGTGATACAAAATCTAAAGTAAAATCGCCAAGAGAATCAGCTGATGCAGCTTTCTTAGGCCGAGAGGACATTATTATCATTGAAAAAGAACAATCGGAGAAACAAGACCAAAAATTATCTCAGGCATTGGATAGTCCAGGAAAATTCAGTGAACCCCAGGTAATGAGTTTGAAGGATGACACTAGCAATATTGATGAGCTTCCAAAACCCAATACAGTTCTCAGTGTGCGCAGCATGTTTGAAAAGCCGACACCCACCCCTCCTATGCCAGTGTACACAACTGCCACAGGGCCTGTCGTTGTTTCGCCAACAAATAATTTGAAAAGCCCGCCTTTCTCTTCACACAAGATTGTTAGCAAAGTTTCACCGTCTGTATCTACAGAGTCTACACAGAGTAGTGTTTCCAAGGCAACAGAGGCAGCATCTGGGTCATCAAAAAAGCGCATGGCTCCGCAACCACCTGTCGGAGCACAGTTAGATCAGAAGAGTGGTTTGCCAACACCACGACCTCGGTCAAGACAGAGTCCTGTTATTGCTGTGGCCCCTTTCGTTAATGACGCAAATTTGGTCAATCAAGATATAGAAGTTATCAAAACTGGAAATAACTCGAATGTTGAATCAGGCGGTATTTGGCCTGAAGAATCAGTGGCTAAGGTCTTTGATTCCTCAGCAGTTATAAAAGCACCAAAAGCTCCGGTGCGAGCATCTAAAACTAAACAGTATTCTGCTTCAACTGTAAAAGAGACCTCTGAAAAACGCAGCACAAACTCATCTACAAAATCCAACTCAGATTTCAAGATGGACAAAGAGAAGCCATCAGAGGCTGATACAAAAACTAGCATCAATGGAACCAGCTCAAATGGTGGCTCCTCAACAGTGGAACCAGTCTACCAACAAGAACCAAGCTCAAGGATTCAAACAAGTGTTCGTTATGAAAACAATTCGAAATTTGATAATATATTTCCAAGTGAAAAATCCATTAGTGACTTGGATACCCATTTGGATTTACATTCACAAGATGAAACTCCCGTGGAATGTCTGCCAGAAGGATCTGGACCGATGAAGGGAATTCCACGCTTTATATCAGAACGGTTAAAGAAAGATGGGAACCAAACAGGACATCATCAATCATCGGTCGTAAATAATTCTTCTAGTCAAGAGGAAAACAGTATACGATCCTCCTCGTCTCAGTCAGAGGCCGATCCCCCAGTAGCAAGAAAACGTAAGAACAATGCTCCAATAGAAGAGCCCCCAGAACCACAAGAACCTAACAACCTTTTGAATTTTAGAAAAAATCTAAAATCTGTTTCCGAATCTAAAAAACCAGTGTCTCAGGTTTTTGATACGAGTCAAATTGTCCGGACACCTGTAAACCACATTCCAAGACTGGATCTATCTAGTATTACTGACGATCAGCGTAATGGCTTTCACCCGCAGGAGGGATACAAACCCACGGATATTAAACCGTGTACGATCATCTTCATTGGTGCCAATGTTAAGACGGGTCGGTCGCTGCTAGACAAGAAGAAAATGACAAAGGTAAGTCACTCCATCACAGATTTACTCTCAGCCATGTTTGCAGTGAGGTGGCTTAATGGTGGAAGTATTCGCTGGTTAATACCCAGGTTCTATTCCCCACTGCATTAAGTGACTTCTTCCCTGATAGCATTCAGACGTTGGCCCAACGTTGGGAATGGTTTTGCCAACATTGCCAACGTTGGGCCAATGTCCGAATGCTAGCTGGGTTGTCCTTGCGGTTCGTTTTCAATTTTGCTTCATTTGCTATAGATCAGATCTGTTTGCTTGTTTGTGAGGAAGTTTCAAGTATTTTTGTCCTGATTTCATTGCGAATTTAAGAATCAGGAAGTGAAATATTTTTGCATAGATAACAAGTCAATTTATGATACATGCCATTGTAATCAGTGCTTGAGAGAGTGATTTTATTGCTCAATAGTTTTCAAGTTGGTTGTAAAAGTATGTTAATGTTTATCGAGGAAAACAATTAATGTAGGGGCATATTTGCAAATATCTCGTTTCACCTAATTATGTATAATGTGTATAAAGTTATTTTGTGAATCAGTACAGTGTACAGTGAACTGATGTACATTTTGCTGTGAACTGGTATAAAGTTTGCAGTCAACTGGTTTACAGTAGCGATGTCACTGTGACACATATGGTGAGGAACACCTGTGGCAAGATACGCCATATGATCAGATGTTTACCAGGCATTTTTTTGTGAAGACTAGATCTTTGTTTAAAGATAGGAAATGTAACTGATGAATTGACGTGAATATGCTAAAACCCTTTAAATCTGTAATCAGTCATGTCATGGCGTCTTGACAACTTTCGTGTTCAAATGGACATAAAATGTGGATTTTCTAGTTTTTTCCCTTTGTCCATGCTTCCATCATGAACATGTGTTAACGTCCCACTCATTTCTTGACAAACAGGTGCCCTCTAGTCTCCCCCCTCTTGCTTTCCCCCCCTCCCACCTTTGCGGTCAATGAGGCATGCAGAAAATTATGGAGTTGCACCCATGTCATGATGTAGAAAGCTGTTAGGTAATCACTTGTTTCAAGGATGCCCATTGGTTATTCATCTGTTAAAACAATTGCCATTGGTCAATATGCCTGGGGGTACATACCTGGGGCATGTGGAGAATGTAAATGCTGACAGCTATATAATAGGTTTAATGACTTGATCAACAGGTATCAGTAGTTGGGGACGTGTAAGAGACATGCACCTACGACTATTTATTCAGTGTATTGAGTGTATTGTTAGCTCTAACCAGCATGTACACATGTAATTTGTAAATGGAGCTTCCTTTGTCATTGATAAAACAGACTGTTTGTATGTGGAGTAAAGAATGTATAATTTTTTAAAGCTGGCGCAGTATTTATAATAGCAAAGAGCTAATTGGCCAACATATATTTATATAGAAATCTTTTTTCGTTTCCTGAGGTCGATTTAGAACATGGCTGCTTTTTGGATATTTATTTTATCAACTAGTGAACATATCTGAATAATGTTTAGTTTTATGAGAATTTGACACTTGAGGGGAAGAATCTGTCATGATGTGTTATACTGTGTTGGGTTACACATCTTGGTATATGTCTGGAATACTTCATGCAGAGCTCCAGCCAAGCTGCAGAGTTTGGTAAAACTAAAAGATCTTTAACAGATCTTTATTTACTGATCAAGTGCAGGTATCACACATAGACAAACTCTTCTGCAGTGAACAATGGGTGTCAAAGGGAGATATGTCTTGGTTATTGTTAATTTAACATATATATATCTCTTTTCGTTAGACATGTTACCTGCTTGTGGCAGTAGATGGACAGATATGAATTGGAATTATCCTCAAACAGCATCTAAAGGAGAATTAGTGAGGTGAGCTGAAATTGGGTTTAACGTCGTGCTTGAGAATATTTCGCTCATATGACGACGTGCATGTGTGTGTATGTGTATGTGCGGCTGCTTGTACTAGCCCAGACTGAAGCTGGTTTTATAGTGCTAGCCCACCGAGATACCATGCCGCAGTGAAGCATGAATACCCCACTCAGACACATTATACTGACTCCGAGCCGACCAGTCCTTGTTGTACCCATTAATGCCGAGCGCCAGGCAGGGACCAACAAGTACCATATTTTAACGTCTTTTGATATGACGCGGTCGGGGATCGAAACCACGACCTTACGCTCTCCGGGCAGACACTGTAACTACTACACCATGGAGGCGGTCAAGAGAATTAGTTATAAAAATTGTCTTTCCTTGGTGTGAAAATATCCAATAGACTGGACCTCTGTTGGGGGAAACACATACCCCACAAACTGTCAATGATAAGTTTTCTTTAGCCCTGGTTCACATATATATACTGGACAAACTTAGTTGGGATATTGGTATTTTTATGATTGATATTTTATCAGTGTCAGGTTATAAATAGATCATTATTCATAATTTCAAAATTTACATATATCCCTAACTATTTTTGTCCAGTATACTTCAGAGAAATCACTCTAATTATAATCCTTGGCTTTTGACTCCATACTTCTATTCCTGACTATGACGCACTTCAGCCTTCTACCTTCATTAAACTGATATGCTGTTAAAAAAATATCTTATGTGTATTAGTGGCATCAAACCAAACCCACTCACTCACTCACTCACTCACTCAGTTCACTCACTCACTCATACACTCACTCAACAAACTATTCATATATCAAATCATACATACCACGACAAACTTTACATATTCAAATCTGGATCCAACAACCAGTCTTGCAACTAGACATAATTCGAGGTCCTCTGGGCCCCATCTTGCACTGCATTCACTCCCAGAATTCAACACCATGTAGCTTTCTGTGGCACTGCCCCAGAGCTCTGCTGAGAGGGCTGTTAGATGAAGAGTAGAATTTGCGTTAATGACCCACATAGTTACAATTTCATAATGGTCTCAATCTCTGTTCTGGGTGATTTTCATTGCAATTAAACCAATTAGGCGTGAGTGGATAGCCATCATTATCAGGTGTGGCAGTAGAGCTACGCAGTCTCACTAATTACACTGTACTGTGTATCGGGAAACAAAGCAGTTAAATATATTAATGTTGTCTGAACGTAATAGGTCAAAGATAACAATATGCTTCAGTATTACATAGAACCCATTCTTCAGGAACATCAATGTAAACCAATAGCCCAAAATAAATTCAAGCTATGATGAGAAGCATTTATGTAGAGTGACTAAGGGTTGGGTAGTGTAGCAGTGTGTGAAATTTACGCTGGTCCTGTGGTCCCTGCCAAGTGAAAATTCATCAGGACCACTAAATGCTAAGTTTGAAGTGGTCCTGTGGCCAGTGAATTTTGTATTGATGGTTAAGTAAATCTATGAATGTTATGTTGGACCAGTGAAGTACAGACAGGACCACTAATTATTGTCTACTCACTGGTCCTGTGGTCTAGTGGGAAATTTTGAAGGGTTCGTTTCCCTGTGCAGTGCAGTCCCTGAAAGTCTGGGTTCGATTTAAACCTAGTGGTGAAATGTGTTCGCTCTTCATGCTGAAGACCCCGAATTGAGAAAAGATAAGATAAGATAAGATAATTCTTTATTGTTCCAAGGGAAATTTGTTTTGCGTCATACGTTCTCCAGTTTTTCTTTCACAAAGCAGCCATACATAACATTGCAATTGGTAATCATGAAACTATTGTTTAAAATAATCAGGATATAAATACATCAATTTAGTACACATGTTGATTCCATCTTCAACATGAACACTATGCGTGAAGCCCATTTCTGGTGTCCATGGCTATTGCTACTATATACTCACTCAATCCAAGCTGTCCTCAACTGATAATTTAGTGTACAGCTATGCTAAATGTGATAATCATTGCTAATTACAAGAGAAGTTTGATGTTAATAGTTGTTACTGTAAACTGTTTCAGGGATACCTTCTATGCAGCAATAGCCTCTACCAGCCACATGCTTGTGAGCTGGATTATTTTTGTAACCCTTTCTACTGAACTACTGTTAGGCTAGACCAATTTTATTTCTTGTTTTACAGATTTTTGTGTTCACAAAGCCTAAAGGCAGGAGGAAAAAAAATATATATAAATAAATACTAAAAGTATTTTACTTTGGGCAATTTATGAAGTGCATATGGGACAAAACACAACATAAAAAAAACCCTTTCTTGTAAATTTACATTTTTACCAATAAGAGATTAGGATTTTATTTTTTCAGCAGGGAAAATTAACTTTTATTTTTTTTATTTTTCTTGAAAATATATGACCGGCAGATCCGTAAAACAAGAAATAAAATTGGTCTGGCCTTATCTACCTTAGTGACAAAATAAACAGCACGTCTAGAAATTCACCCCAAAAGGTTACTAGCCCAATAACATTGTTTTAAATACTACAGTGCAAAACTACACCAAGTATATAGAGATGTGTAGAATGGATGCAGAAGATGTGACCAACCAGTGTGCGAAATAGTTTCAAGATTTTGCTAGCCAGTCTGGCTAGCTATGCCTGAAAGTTACTAGCCCACAATATAATTTATAATCTTGCATGATTTAAAAGTGTATTATAACTTAACAAGTTGGAGAGAGTGATATATTTACTAAATGACCCCATAAATACTCACTAGCCAGTCGGGCCAGTGACTGTGGAGATTTACTGGCCAGACTGGATTTTTTCTAACCACGGGCTAGTGGGCCAGTGGCTATTTTGCACATTGTGACCAACTACATTTGATCAAGTAAATATGGTTTTTTTGGGATTAGATTCACTTTATGCTAAATGATCTGTTAAACAGGAATTCAAGTACCATTATCTGCATTATTTTGGACAATAATATGTTTGCAGAAAGTTTTCTTGATGAGAATTGGGGAGGTGAGATTCCCTCGAACAGGAAGAACATATAAGACGAGTATGTGGATGACAACTTCTTCTTTATTGTATAACACAACGTTTCTGGGCTACTTCTTGCCCCTTCTTCTGGAAAAACATGATTTGATATAAGTGTTTGATTCAACTGGGCTGGGACT